TCAAATTCTGTTTTCTAGGGTCCTCTGACAAGTTCTTTCCTCAGCTATAAGCTCAAGGAGAAACCTGCTCTTCAGTGTAAGCTTTGCTTGTTGAAAAATCTGGAGGAGTCCTTCTTAAAACTCCTCCAGATGGCTCATCCTTGCACAGCGCATTTCTCCAAGGCAGAATCCAGAGCTACACTTCATGGAAGTAGAGTATCTTCTGTTTGCAACCATTTGCATTTCCCCTGCTCATGCAGGAACGTGAATAAAGTGCTTTGAAAGTGTATGAAGTGTCCATCATATTTCTGCTGACCTTCAAGATTTTCTCCCACTTAGGAGATGAGGAAGGATGTTGTGAGGTTTCATTCACCATTTAATGGGCTGAAGAGCAAAATGTGCCCTGTGTGTGTGCAAGGAAACAGGAAGGAAAAGTGACAAAACAAAAGCATTGACTGCCCGTTGTGAGTGTGTGTGTTATTAGCTTTGTCTGGCAGCGTTTGAATCACTTTTGTCAGCACTTAAAGGAACCACTTCTGAATTTAATGCAGCCAAGCTGGACAAAATAGCGGTCTGGAGAAAATGGGGATCTGTGCCTGACTTCTTTTCATCACTTAGGTGAGTTCTGTGAGCCCAACATCTGTTTGTCAGTAGCTGCAGTTACTTTACAAGATACTTTTTATGTCTGGTACACTTTTAAAATGCAGATTTTTAAGCTCARTTGTAGGAAAGGCATGGATTAGAAGACGGAAAAGAAGAACAACCTCTGCTGTATCTGGTTGTTTCCAGGGGTTGCATTGATCAAAAGTGAAGCAGCAAAGATTTTCTCCATTCTCTGGCAATGACCCAGAAGTTCCTAAGATTCCTAACAGAGCTTTTCTCTGCTGCTTTCAGGAGCCATTCCACATCAGGAATACCCCATCTCCACCCAGGGATGAACCTGGAATACGTGGTACCAACTAGTACAAGGGAGGAGGAGAAGATACCATGAGGACTTCAGAGGGCYCTTTCTCTCTGTCTTAGGATAGGATTTACCAGATTTAGGAAAACCTCCACTGTCTTTTTGCTCATACCGTATCATTTCCCAATGGGATATCTCGGTTGTTCATGTAATGACAGCATTCCCCCATGTCTGATTTTCMTGTTATCTGGATTGTTTGCACTGACACAAGATGAGGTAAAGCAGGGACATCGCTGTTTCACACCCTGTCGGCTGTGCTGTGTTTTCCTCTCGGTTTGGGCCAGGCTGGGTTTGATTTCTCAAGATCCCAGAGTGAGTACATCCTGCCTGACCACAACCCCTCCTTTCCCAGAAATCATCCTATGGAATAAGCCCTGAACAAAGTGTTTCCTGTCTCCCCTTTAACCCTTTTCCTTCCACCCAAGTGCTCTATGGCCTGTGGCCKGCTCCAGAAAGCATGAATTCAGTGTGATTTCCTCATCCTGCCCACTCAGAGGCTGTCAAAAGCCAAAAATGACAGCACTGGAATGCCAGAAGCAAGCGAGTCACCTGCAATTTCACACCTGCCATCGCTGCTTTCATGGCAGCTGGCGAGGCGAGTTGATGAAGGTCCCACTTGGCCCAGGCTGAAAGTCAAAGCAACTGTTGGGCTTTTCAGGGAATGTCCTTCCCTGAAGTAGGAAGGCAGGTAGAAAACCTGCTGGCAGCTGCCTGGGGGCATCTGCTGCCTTGCRTAGGAGGTGTTTGTGCTTTTTGCACGCTGTCCTGCTCTTGGCAGCAGCTTTTCCAAGCTGGAAAAAGCGTTGGTCATCATCAGCTGAAAAAACACTTTCTGGGCTGTGGATTTCTTTCTGTGGAGCCACAGCTGAACTGTATTGGCCAAGTCTGCATCCTTTCTATGGGAGATTTAATAGTGCCAGGTGAGCAGCAAAAACCATCCAGCAACTTTTGACTCCACTGATCAAACCTAACCTGCAGTTTTGATTGTTCCTTTTTACAAGTGTCTGGGAGAGAGGCCATAAACTAGGCTAGGGAGCTCCACAGGACAACTGTGCAAATGCTGTGACAGGCTGGGCTCTGGTACCTGCTTTTCTGCCCTCCAACAAGCTCCTGCTGCCCAGTACCAACAGGACTCCATCCTGCCTGTCCCTGACCAAGCCCAGGCTGTATTTCTGATTTGATGTGAGTTATGGCTTCCAGGGAGCAGCAATCTTGTGGATTTCTCTATCCCTGACCAAGCYCAGGCTGTATTTCTGATTTGATGTGRGTTATGGCTTCCAGGGAGCAGMWATCTTGTGGATTTCTCTATCCCTGACCAAGAGCTCACCACAACAACCTGCTCCTCTAGGTCTGGGGACTGAAGAACCCTCACCAAACACCACCTGCCACACACGAGCAGCACGCTGTAGCCAAGGGAAAGGAGTCAGCCCTCTGTGAGAACCAGAGGAATCCAAACAGCAGCAAGAGTCAGGACAGAAACCAGACTCACAGAGGCCCGAGAATGTTGCATTGCACAGACACTGTTTTGCAGTCTGGCCTCCTGGCCCTAATATCCTCTGACAGCTCCCAGAGCAGGAGCAGAGCAGGTTTCAGYGACTGGATCACGACACCAGGTCCTGCGGGAGCTGCTGCTCCAGAGTCCCCACTGCCAGGCCCCAGCGAAGCACGCAAGGAGCTGCGAGGATGTGCAGTCTCCGGAGCTCGGAGCGGGGACTTATCTTCACAAGAGAAATACCAGCCAAATGCTGGGTCCAGGCCAGTGCTTCAAAACTGGAATTTTGGAAGGCAGCTTCAGCCAGGCCCTGGTAAATGACTGCTTGTTTGATGGCTAATTGCTTATGAAAACAGAAGGCACAAACCAAATCTGTGCAGGTTTTATACCGTCCATATCACCAAAGCCCACAGAAACACCCACCCCAAAGCAAAYRATRCCTGTCTGAGACTTTCAGTGACATTTTGTTTCTGAGTCCCTTTCTCTGGGAGAGCAGAAGTAAAAAAGCTGRAGCCACCCTGGGTAGCTGGGTTCAKCRGGAATGTGTTAARTTACRCCACAAAAGCCATCCCCTTGCCAAGCAGCAGGCACACAGRGCTGTGAAAGGACATGCGTGCCTCCCAGTTAATGTCACCTTCACAGCTTCCATAGGTCACAGCACAAGCAGATATCTGCGCCGAAATAAGATGCCAGGCAGAACACAGATCCCATTCTGAACAATGCCATGGGCCCAGGGAGAGATGAGGAATTTAAGGGAAATAGAACAACAGGAAATAAGGAAAGTCCCTCCAGCAAAGATCCTGTGGCCCATCAGCAGTGGCTCAACACAGCATACAGAGGAGTGACACAGTGGAGTGACTAAAGCACTGCCTGGCAGCCAGCATTGCCAGGGCCATTGTTGCCAGCATGGGAACGACACAGACAGCAAACACAAGCTTTGCTCCCAGGCACTGGCAGAGACACATCCACCCCRAATAAAATGACTTCCCGAGGCTCCTCAAGGCCTGGACACACCATGCCATCGTAACTGGTAAATCATATCCTGAGGAAGGAAAAACTCTGCCAGGAGGGGATAAAGAATTGAGCAACCTGGATGAGCACAGAATAGGTTTTTGCCTGTGTCCTGGACTAATGAATTATGAGGATAAGATGCACTCCTTCCGCTTCAAGGAAGGAGATCCTCTTCAAGAGTCTTGGTCTGGCCAAGGGGATATATGGGAGAAGTAGGGGATGAATCCCACCCAAATGGGACCTCGCTAGAAGAGTGCTGCCTCTAGAAGTCACAAGGCTTGGAGAAAGAGAGGAGATGATTTTATAGTCTCTTCTCTAGCAGTGAAGCCCCTGTAAGATACCAGGGAAAGCTGCCAGAAACACCAGCTCTGGTCAGGAAAGGAGAAGCTGGATTGCCCTGGGCAGTAGAGTGGGAGCCATGCTGGATAAGCAGCTCTCTCCAGAGGATGCTACACACAGACCATGMATGTAGAGGACAACAACAAGGGCAGGCCAGGGATCCGTGTGGTGGTTTAGCTCTCAAAACAGCTCCTGCAGGGATTCAGAGCAGGGCGTTCCGGGCTAATCTCTGCGTCCCCTCAGGGAACCTGAGGATTACTGCTCTACATCTGCTCACAGGGCTGGGCCCCACCTTGTCAAGGCAGTGGAAGTGCTGACAGCCACTCTCAGTTCTTTAATCGGTTTGGGACAAACAGCAACGGGCTCTGTCCCCTGCGGTGCAGCCCCTCTGAAGCGACTCCCTCATTCACGGGCCTGATGTCTTCTCYGGAGCCTTGGCTGGGACAGGAATGCACCTCGGAGTTTGTCACCAAGGGCAGGCTCCTGGCAGCAGCTACAGAGCCACAGTGCAGCTTCCCTGGCTCTCTCAGGGGCTGGCAAAGGGTGGCCACAGGAGTGTGTGGCCACCACTGGTACCCACCCTGCAGCAGCCATGGCAGAGTGCTTTCTACAGCCCAAGTCAGGCTGGGAATGGAGGTCCCTGGACAGCAGTCAGCACTGTCCCCAGAGCTGTGCTGTCACCTGGTAGCCCATGGCCCCCACACTGAGCCAAAATCCCAGCAGAAAGGGCTTCAAAAACCTCCATGGGCTGAGGGGGTTGTGCTGTTACTCACGCACCAAGATCACCCACTTGCTTCTCTTTCTGCTCTTCTCTGCCTCCTGCACCTGCCTGTTTCACGGGACACACCACCGAGCTTCCCTCCTCCCTTTYCGTGCTGGGGATGCTGCTTTGGGATCGGCTCTGGCTGCTCTGGTTCCAGGCAGGCAGCTCCATCTGCTGGCTGCTCTGTCCTTGGCTGCTGTGGAAACCTGGAAAGCTCCACTAAGAGACAGCCTTGATTTTATCATCTTTTCTCCCTAACCTCACATTCTGCTGTAGAAGCCACAAGTCACAGGGCTGACCCAAATAATTTGAACCATTCACATTTACAAATCGGGAGTATTAAACTGAAAACATTTTATTAAACAACGTTACAAATAGGACAATGCATATCAGACTAAATGAGAGATTTTTAATTTATAATCATAACTTAAACATAAATTAAGAAAAACTCTCATTTGAAGACTTTTAACAGCTCAAAAACCATACTTTCAATATAAAAACATACAAATTTCAGGCTTCCATTTCATTCATAAATAATATGCAGGCATTAAATCCATACAAGCATCTCAAATTTATTTTAAAATAAATTCTGATCAGTTGATCAAAGACCACAGACCTACTCAAGAACAAGTATTTTACAATACATTTACATGTAAGAGCACAGAAATATCCACAGTAAAAGCTGCACAAATAAATATGTATGTTTATACACATATTACAGTACAAAATCCCACAGGGATGAGATAATTTCAGATCTATCTGCTGTGCTCAGAAACCAGAGTACCTGCTAGAAGCATGATGGTTCCTTGTGCTATTATAATAAAGAAAAAAAGGTATCTAAGTTTCCTGGGATATGCAGCAGAAACCTAAATAACTGCCCATATCACTACAGGCATATTGAGTGACTGGGACATTTTAAAATAAATTGACTTTCACAAACCAGATCAATAGTTTCAAAGCTGTTCAGTGACTATTTTTTCATCCTGATTCTTCTGTTTCTGCAGGCATAACCCCTGTGAGTCCAGAGAAGACACCTCCAGCAGTGTAGTAAGCGATGTGAAATAATGCATGTCTTCACCTCAGCTCGGTACCTTTGAGTGGAGCAGGGGAGGAACCAGCCTCCCCTTTAGGCAGCAGTGCTCTGTTTGCTCGCCATCTGGACAGGAGATGGCAAGCTCCCAGTCAGGATAACTCTACATGACTGAATAATGTAGGCAGGATTTGGCCAGAAGGGCAGAGTTTTACTCTCTGCTTGTCTTCAATGGAAATACCAGACAGCTTGAGTTCAAAATTTCTGAATCATACACAAGGTCAATCATCTTGTCAGCAAGAGGTAAAAACATCTGGACAGCTGCTGATTTCCATGCAGTTTCATTCTCTGAGAAATCTGAGACGTAAGTGAAGGTGGCTTTAATTCCTGCAGAGAGAACAAAATTCCTCCGTGAATCAGAAAACTGGCACAGATTTGTATTTGCTCTCATTTCAGAGGAATTTTGTATGCAGCAGGTAGCAGAACAGCACAAAAATGTTCCTAATACTATATGCAGCTGGACAGAATGCTAAGCACAATCATYCTTAAGGAGCTGAACAACCATTTCTAAAGCAATAAATCCACCAGTCTTGTTAGTAACTTCCATGCAATGCCAAGATGCATATTAGGTATCCCAAAGCACATCTTGCTGTGTCAGCAATTGTGTAGCAATTAGCAGCTCTGATTGATTGCTTGTGTGATTAAAAGGAAGAGAATTTGGGAGTGAAGCCATTACATGTGCTTACCTGAAACACCTGAGTTAGACATCCTGGCCAGCACTTTGGAAACTACCTTCAGAGGCTGTGTCCTGCCAGTTCCTATAAAACACAGAAGTGAAAAGTACTTTAATGGCAACAAGTTTATATCAAAAGGATTTTAGAAAAGTGATGGCAGCATTTTTTCATGTTGCTTTTTGAGACACAACTTACCTGTAAGGAATAAACTTCTTTGCTGCAACAAGAAAAAGAAAAGATATTAGTATTTGAGGACAGAAGCCCTAATTCTTGATGTCTAAATATTTGGGGTTTACTATTTTTTTAAACTTTTTTAGACGCTCATCCTAAATCCAATCATGCCCTGTATACAAGGTCTTTGAAAATAATTTTGGAATTTGTCTAAGAATGGGCATTACCACTTTTTCAAAAAGTAAAGTATAAGGCTTTGGAGGTTTTGGGGTGGTTTTGGAGTGCTTCACTGAATTTTTTTCAGGAAAATAAACAAACCAGACCAACTGCTCACCTTTTTTCCGGAAGCGCCTTGCAAGCCAAAGGAGGAATGATCCTGTGGACAGCAGAGAGGCAGAAGTGGCTGCTATGCCCACAGAGACRTAGCTGGCTTGGTCAGAAGCTGAAAGGATGAAAAGGTTTCAGTGAGATCAAGKGCCATGTGTGGCCTTTGAAGCCCTCTCTACTTCTTCCCCTTCCTCATGCTCTTCAAGAGGARCCAGAACTGCAAYTTGTAACACTTTTCTCTTGATGAARCAGGATCCTTCCTGYACACAAAGTAAAAAGCTGAATACCAAAAATTACCCCACCCATTGCCAAGGCAATGGCAAGACAAGAAGCTCCCTACACCAAGGTCTGTCTACCCACCAGCCTCACATGGCAATTTATGCTCCTCTTATTTTTCATGTTTCAGTTCATATTTTAACTCCCTGTCTTCCTCTATGAGCAATCCTGCTGAGATCAATGAAATTATTCAAGGATCTAAATTCTGCTCAAGCAAATGAAAGTGGAATTGAGCTTTTGGGACCTCAAGCAAAAGCATTCCAGGCAGGCCAGGGGTGTTTCAACTTGGGACAGTGACAGAGGTCTTACTGCCTTAAATGAGAAGACAAGGCTGAGCTTTCTGTCATTTGAAATTACAGCCTCTGAGGGAAAAGCTCTGTGAGGTCTTTWGGCAAAGGAGTTCATCCAAGAAACTATCACACCAAGTCCAAAAACCTATAAAATTTTCCACTGAGAAATAGGCTTATGAATGCAGATTTCCCCACAAGGTTCTCTTTCTCTAGAAAAGCTTTTGTTTTTATTCACATGAGAAAAGCACAACATGAAAAATGTTTTGTTTCAAAACCAAACAAAATAAACTGAAATCAGGTTGCAGCTTTTGTTTCTGGATAAGAAAAACAAGATTTTTCACTAAGACATTTTAGGATTTTTCTTCTACTTTCAAATATACTCAGTGAGTTTGTTGGACCTTCGAATTCATGGACTTCACTAGATGTTCTAGCTCACTTGTTGGTATTAACATCACTATCACCCTTCCACACCTCATCTGACTACAAACCCAGAGCCATCCCTCTGTGGCTGGTCACAGGCAAAATACCTTCACATGTGGGCGAGATGGCACTCCAGTTTCCTGAATGGCTGCACTCAAGAACAAGAGAGCCATTGAGACTCCATCCTTCCAGGCAGCTGAAGTGGCAGGAGGTCTTGTATGTGAAGATTCCAGCCCCATGGGAGCATTCCATAGAGCCTTTCTCAGGAGAGCTCAGTGGTTCACACTGTACAACTGAAAGACAAAATGAAATGGTTAAGAGTCATTAAARACTTCCCTGTCTTTGGCCCTATTTTTTGCAGCAGTAGATGTACAATTTATTTTTAAATTCATTTGACTTTGTGATGGGAGCAACTCAGAGCCCTGAGAACATGGGAGCACAGTTTCGTTTGGGGCCAACATCCTATGGGAATATGGATTTCTGTGAGTTCCCAGTGACCAGAAAACTGCAATTTCCAACAGTCTCACCTTTGCATTTTGGCATTGGCTCTGACCACTGTCCHTGAGCTGTGCACTCAGTGCTGGATGGCCCATCCAGAACATATCCCTCACTGCACTGGAAATCACAACGTGAGCCATAGGTGAGATCTGCAGGAGCGTGGTCACAGGTCACAGAGCCTTCTGCTGGCCATGGGACAGCCTCACACCTCACAGCTGCAACACAAACAGCACAGCAGGAATCAGCACAGATCCTTCAGGAGATCAACAYRRCAATGCTGAGAGYCSTGRRGGCTCAGATGAGCAGGGATAAGGAAAGGTACCTGCACAGCTTGGCTGCTGCCCATCCCAGGCCCCAGAGGATCCACACTGCAGGGTAGCTGGTCCTGTCAGGGTAAAGCCTTCCTCACAGGTGAACTCACAGGTGGTGCCCCAGGTGAGCTGCACAGAGGGATGGGAGCAGTTCATAGCCCCATGGACAGGAATGTCCAAGGCAGGGCAGGTCACAGCTGAAAAACACAAAAGACAACACAGAGCTTAGCTTGCAACAAACCGTTAAAATATTTGCTTTTCTGAGTCTTAGCAACACACCCACTAAACAGCTTTAGAAAGGGGTCTACAATGCCACCATCTCAAAAAGCAGAGAGGAGGGGAAATACCTCAAAATGGGAAACTAACTCTTAAGGCAGGACTGCAGCTCATGACAACTATTTACAACCCAAAACATCCCTATTTTGATTGCTGCTGGGTGATGTTTGATGCTCTTCTTTACTTTAAAATGTAGCTTATTCTAAGTCAAATACATCAAAAATTAATTCCTACAGTCAGAAGTGGCTGGCCTGTTAAGAGCAATCTCACAGCTATATCATGTCAATTCCCTGTTCCCTCCTAAGAGGTGGAAAAGTCTTTCCGACAAGGAAATCTAGGTCAAGGCCAGAAYATTCTTCCTATCTATTTCAGCTCCTTGGGAATGGAGACCTGTGTGCTGAAATARAAGTATCACCTACACCACTTAGTTAATTACAAAGGAATTGGCCAAACTTCCATTTGTACTCACTGCCAGAGCAGCGCTGAGGTTTGCAGAGCTATGTACAATTCAGAAAGATGCAGATAGCTCACCTTTGCATGCTGCAAGAGGAGCAGACCAGRCCCCAGAAGAGGTACAGTGAACAGATTCCAAAGCAGTCAGCTCATAACCCTCCTCACACTGAACTGTGCAGGATGAGTTGTAGCTGAAGTCCCCCAATGGATGGTGGCACTCGAGGCTCCCRTGATCAGGTTTCTTTAGGGGATCACAACTCTGAACTAGAAAGAAGCACAACAAGGTGCACAGTCAGGCTCACTGGCTGGGCAGGTAAACCAAGAAGCCAAACTGAACACTAGCTAGCATGAYTGGTCAAAAAGCAGGATGAAATAATCTTACCAAACTCGCATTCAGGCCCATAGAAGCCCGGATTGCAATGGCAGGTGTGATTGTTAATAGTCTCTATGCATTCTCCATGGCCACTGCAGAGAGATGGGTTGCAAGAAGCTGAAATAAAAAAACCACAGCAAATAAGGAAAGAATCAGCAATGGCCTCTAATGCAACCTGGCTAGCATTTTGTTTATCTTTCTGACTCTAAACAAGCCCTTCATGTAGCAAAAGAAAATCAGACGGTTTTGGCACTTAAGATTATCGTCTCCTTTTACCAAAGAATTTCTGAAATCCACACCTTTTACAGACTAGCTCACAGGACAAGGCTTCTTCTGGCTGGAAACTCCAAGACCAGTGGTTCTTGGTTGATATTATCAATATTTAAAATGCAAAAGGAACAATAAACTATGGGGTAGGTAGGAATCCTCAACAAGTACATTATTCATTAACTCATCAGAGCTCTAATTTGACTTTTTTTTTTCTTTTACACTTAGCATTGGCCCCCTCTACACAAAGCATTAAATCTAATCCAGCAGTCTATAGCCAGCAGACAGACAGCTCCAAAAGGGCAACTCTTAACTAGCTGAGAGACCCACTGGAGACAGGGATGGACGTTACCATCTGAAAGAGCCTGCTTCTCCCCACTGATTGTAGAGAAGGTCTACTGATTGGCCTCTAAAACGATGCAAAATATTCTGGGAACTAGAAGGTGACATTAATCTAAATCTTAGAGCAAGGACAACTGCAACCCCAGAAGTTAACACAAGTGTACAAGTGCTTACAGTGTCAACTAGCTGATATGTAAGATCAAGTTAAACAACTCGTCTCAGCCACCATCTCACGTCCACAGGGACACACTGGAATGACCTTTATCACACCATACCTGTGTAGCACAAGGCGACYTTCTTTTTCTCACACTGCTCATCGTTCCATTTGCCGTCATCCTTCCCTCTTTTGATGTAGATCTCAACGCAGTCCTCGTTGTTCCCTTTGCCATTTGGCTCACCTGAAGCCCAGTTCCTTGCTTCTTCTGTCAGTACTTTGTTAGTTCCAGTCCAGGTCCATACACCATTAATTTTTCTGATTCCAATCCAGTAGTAACCCGGATTGAATGGCAAGAACTCATTGAGATGCTTAATTTCCTCCTTATTCTGGATAGCAACCAGGTTAGTGTACTTCTTTCTGCACCACAGCTCTGCTTCCCTGTAGGTCATGTTTGTCTCTGAATAATGGTATGTCCACCCATTCACTYCCTGCAGCACTGTAAGTCCTAGAATGAAAAGATACCCAAAAGTTGGTGTCTGACTTTTCCCCTCCCCTCTCTTTAGAAGAGAACATCTAAAGCTCAATAAATATTGCAAACTTGTCAGTATATGAAACTGAATAAAAAATAGTGGCAATTATTTTATAAACAATCACCTGGCAATATTCAAACCAAGCAAATCAGCTTTAAGCACAGGGACTTCATATCTGATCACACAAAGCTTTGAGACTTCACAGAAGACTATAGGAGCCAATGATGGCTTTGACAGGCAAGCAGGGAAAACGTGCCATTGCATCCAGAGGTGTTTCTATGTGAACACAGCCCCAGGTTAATCAAGGCAGGTTCAAAAATTCTGTTTGATGCTGCGCTCAAAGAGAACAGTCACACTAATATTGCCATCCAACTAATTTTCTATGCAGAGAAATAYACACTTACCATAGGTAAGAAGAGASAGCAACKGCAGGCAAATCATGTTTCTGAGAGTTTTCTCTATCTTTTAAGCAGATGGCTATGAGAAATCAAGGAAACACATTTGTAAAAAACAATTAGTGAGCTGTTCAAATTCCATATAAACTATTGTTCACACAATTTTYCCTACACACTTTTAAACAGTTATTCTAAAGACTTAAGTAAGATTTCCACTTAYAGGAAATTATTCAGTTTTGAATATCAAGATATCTTTTAAATGTAAAAAGCTTTTAGAGAATATGAGCACAGGTTTACAGCTGTCCAGTTCTCCTTTAGCTGAGCAATGAAACAAGTAGCAAAGCCCATTTCTACTCACCGTTTGTAGCTGCAGTGTGCAGGTGACAGAATTCCTCTGCGCTGTTTCCCAGTGACTGCTTTCCGTGGCTAAGTGGATGAGCTCAGACTTGAAAACCAAGTTCAGCTCCAAGTGTCTGGACTCTGTAATGCTCTGCCTTTTCTTACAGCCTTTTATTCCCTCAGCTAGCCTGTCCTCCACGAGACGGGAAATTCCGCGTGGAAAAAAATATCTTGGAAAATCCCAGAATCTGGCCCTCCTACACGTCAAGACGGATGTTTCCCCTTGCCAGATCGATCCTCCCAGTAAGGCAGACTGTGCTGACACACTGCCAAGTGCCACATTACAGACTTTTACTGACAGAAACACACAATTCCAGGATGTCAAGGAGGAGGACAACGGTTAGTTCAAGTTAGTTGCATGAATAAGCAGATTACAATTTTTCACCTATCAGTGCTTCGCAGCAAGGAGGCGTCAGTTCTTCTGGTATCTCATCAGGAGAGGTGCCAACACTCAAAGCTGGTTAAGTAAGTTTGAGTAAAAATGGACACTGCAGCACTTCCTTGTGGATCTTAGCTGTGCAGAGCGCTAATTTGTGGTCAGGTTTGCCAGCTCCAGGATTGCTGGTGCTTTTCTGCAGTCCTGCTCACAATAAAGATTCATCAGCCAGTTGTAGCAGTCAAGCCTGAAGCATGGACCTTGCTTTAAAGGGTCCCTTGGACCATATTCTTCAATGTCATGATCTCAATAGAGTTACAACTCCTCAACAGGTGCATGGAACATTTCAGGTGGATAAGACAATACATTAGAAATTTACACACCTTTATTGTGTATATCCTGATTAATTATACTACTCCATCAAGCTTCACTATTATGGATGACGTTTAATGAGGCTGAACATGCAAAGGACTCAACAAGGGTTGTCAGCAATAGCAAGGCACAGAACTTCATATCTGYATAGTTAGAGTTCACACAGTGTGTGTTGGAGCTCTAATTTTGGAGCCTCAGCCTGTTCTTATAGAATAAAAGTCAGTGTATTCTGGATTCTAAGCTAACATATCAACTGGTATCAATTCCCATTTTTTTCACAAAATAAAACCCCCAACTTGTCAAGTAGCCAAAGATCTCTTCCCATCAAATAAATCATCTTGAAGAACACAGACAGAAGTTGGCATTTTAATGCACCCATACAGCACATTATGCAGCAGGGCCTAACTTCACAGGGGTTCTGTGAACAATATTCTAAAACAAGTTAATGAGTCTTGATAGGGTAGGCTTTTTTATTTTTGAAAACACTGATCTGCTGTTATAACTGTATGCACAGAAGAATTATAGACAACTCCAGGACAGTTGTTATTCTCCCAGGGGCYAAGAGACAGAAAATCCTACGCCTTTTCCTGGAGATTCCCTTTTCCAAGYCACTTAATGAGCTTCCTACTGGTAAGCGCTCATCCTTGTCATGGCAGAAACTCTGAAGAAAGCTCTGAGAAAACTTTATCAGAATTCCTTTGCCAATGGAATCTCCGGAGGAAGGAAGAGCTTATTTCATAATTTACAGTAGTCTTCCTTTGCAGGGCCTGTCTGAGACCTCTTGTCTGCAGCAGATAAAGAAACCCCCACACAAAATAACAAAACACCAAAGCCTACAAACAATRTGCTTGTAAAAACTCCAGCCTAAAAAAAGACTGCTTCTTTTTGTTGGCTGTATTCCCTTATGCATCATTCACATGGGACTCTTTTTGGTTTTTCCCAGGGAATTCTGCTACCCCCTGAAGATATTTCCCTGTTACATACTGGAAGATGAAGGCAAAATTTTCAGTAAAAAAGAAAGCCTGAAAATCATTCTCAAAATCACACAACAGAGGTTAAAACCTCTTTATTAAAAGTCAAAARTACTTAKAAACATCAAYCCTGCTGTTTAGYAAGACYGGGATTMCTRTGACCTAAAGCTYATATTGGATGCTAAGCTACATATGWATTTYARGAGAAATACCTGTGATATATTTACTTAGGTGGAGCTGGAGATAATCAAGCCAGAAATGCCATGCAGCCTGACCTTAGCTGGTTTCTGCRTTACTAATTTGTTCTCTTCTCAAAGTTATTTCACATTTATGGCTTTTTACTCCATTGCCAATTGATTTGGGAATGTAAGAGCCTCATTTTCTGTGCTGTAGAGAGCTGGATGAAGTTGTCGCTCTCCTCTTGTGCTACATGAGCACAGAATTCCTTAAAATTAATACAACTCCTCTCTGCCAGAAAAATAGGAGACACTAAAGTCAAATTTTTAGAAACACTGAACATTTCCTGTTCCTATACAGTACATACTTTCATTTCCACAAGTGAAAGCCCAGCTTTTTATGGTGAATGAGAATACTCCAGATCACCTCTTTTCCCTTACAAACAAAGAAGCCTTGACAATTATTTAGCCACAATATAATTTATTGTGGCTACATAATTGTGGCCACACAATATAATTTTTCAGTTAGAAGGTTTACTTAAGAGGCCACTATGAGACATAAAGGGTAAGAAAGGACTATATAAACATATCAGAAATAAAAACAACAAACCCCAGCCAGGTCTGCTACTTAAAGGACAGCAAATATTGCCTCTCTGTATCTTGGAAAAGAAGATCAAGGTAATTAGAAGCCAGACCTTCCATGTGAATACCTAGAAAAGATACCAAAAGAGTAACAAAAAAATTTAAAGAAAACAACTGAAAAACCAGCAGAAGGCTGCTAAGCTGTCAAGAATGAYATGATTGATCTGTTCCTGGCAGATCAGCCTGGTTTGTGCCTCAAGGCTGTGTCAGTAATAAAGAAACAATAGTGCACTATGGTTTGTCATAATTAAGACTTTTAATATTGTCCCATGAGACATTATTATGAGGAAACAAGTGAAACAATGTGTAGCTGAAATCACCATAAAATGAGCACACGAGAGATGTAATCACCACTGAAAGGGCAGTTTTTCAAAGAACACTRCTTGTCCAAGAGAACTGTTTTATTCTCATTCCACTGTAGAAAAGGACAGTAAAGGAAAGCAATCTCTACAATCTTCTAAAAGCTAAAAGGTATTTTAGAGTACTTAAGAGGCATTTGATCAACATTTCATGTCCACTTGGTGCATAACAAGAAATGGTGGMTTGATTTGTAGAGACAAAATTTCAAAGGAAACTTTTCCAAAGAGGCCATGAAATGCTAAAACAGGAGTTTTGTAGAGCCTGCCTTTCTGTTGGAAATTAAGTTTTGGGTTGAGAATAATTTTCAGTATTTTTATCGGTAACTCATGAAAATTTCATGCAGTGGGAAGTTATTTTACCTCATCTAAAACTCTGTTGAACTTGCAAAAATCACAAACCCAAGACAAATACAGAAGGTGTTGGAATTTCAGGTAACCAGAGTACACAGATGTAGATTTGTGCATATAGAAAAAGACAGAATTTCATTTCCCATGTCTTTTTTTAAGACTGGTTCTTTATCTACAAGATTACATCTGCATTTACATATCAACTGATAAAAATAGATCATTAAGTCTCTGAGTAAGCCAGTTCCATCTYTCTCCTAGAAGATATTTTTGTCATTCCTAAATTAAAACACTTGATAAGTATTTATATCAAAAGGCTTGGCAAAATGGACATTTATGTCATGGCARAGAGCCGTAGAACTACTTGAAATTTTGGAGTAATGGAAAAACTTCCAGTTTCACCCACAGTGACATTCACTAGGAGWGGAAAAGTAAGAGCTTTGGCCAGCCTTGAGGGGGAAAAGGAGTTCTAGTGCCAGTAGTGAAGGTGTTTCCTGTTTRGAGAGGAGCTTGCAACACTCCTTTGAAAATTCTTTAGAAATTAACAGACAAAGGGTTTACAGCACCAATTTTCCCTGAGGTCTACATGGGAAGAAAAGATAATTTCCGAAAACATACTCATCCCTCAGCTTCTGTGTCTGATTAAGTGTGAAGAAAGTAGCCAATGCAACTGCTACAAAGACACTGGAATTTCACAAGGCTGCCTGAGGCAGTCTCCACTCTGTCTGGAGTGGAACCCCAGGAGTCAGAAAGTCTTATCTCCACTTCTCATTTCGGGAATTGTGTTCTGACTAATAGTGCTCAATTTCCTCCAAACAGACAAAAATATACATTGGAGAATCCAACCTGAGCCTGAGGGTCACTTGCACTGGCCAGGTATGATTCAGAGCATTGAAACATGAAACAGAGCCAAGGGGCAGAGGAAACAACAACTCACACCTTGAGTCAAGATTAAAGCAGGACTGGCCTTCACATCACACATTGSCTGCCTGCAGTTGCAGGTGGAACTGATCCCACGCAGAACTTGATTATTTCTAATTCCACTTCTGGAAATCATGGCAGAGAAGCCCTTGGAGGCTGGCCACCCTTCATATACACATAGAAAGAATAACTATATTATGCATGCATTGACTGTTCATTTACTGCCCAGATCTGCTCCACAGCCCCATGGCCTCAGGAGGGGAGATGTCCCACAAGTGACACTGATGGGGATTCTGGCTCTGAGGAACAGAATAGTTATAGCTTTTGGCAAGAGAGGAGTAAGAGCAAGTTTCAGGATTAGAAGATTAAGTAGCTGTGTGATACTGTAAAAATGGGCATAATGAGATATGGTTTTTTTGGTTTTTTTTTTTTTTTTTAATGAGATATGGTTTTTTTTTTTTATTATTATTATTTTGCTGATTCTTTGCATAGCTTCTGCCTAGCTCTATTCCAAGAAAATATTGTTGTGACTTACCAGAGAGCAKGTGAGCTTATCAGCAGCACTGGAGTGCTGACATGATCTACCATTCCTCATTTGCTCTATCATGAGGGAGAGACYACGAACAGGAGGAAGATGCAGTAGCTTCACTTCCTTGCTAATACATCTCACCATGAGTTTATGAATTCCAGGTGTAAGGTCTGTTCTCAAGTCAGCTTCAGGTACATCATTTTTATACATCAATGGATACAGTATTTAACATAACTAAAGCAGTATTCAACCAAAATCATTAAATCATTAAATACAGTATTCATAAAAAATATAACAATCATTAAAGGACCATGACTAAAACTACTGGAATTCTGTGCCACTGGGTACCTGAAATCTTCAAAGCAGAAGACCAAACCACAGGGTACATCTGCACAGCACTCAGAAGTAAAACCTGACCCAAGAACAGCCAG